GGTCCCGGGCCGGTCCCGGGCCTGGACCGGCCCACTTGCCAGCCTTAATTGCGCACAAAGTGAAGAGGAAAATCAAAACTTTCGAAGCCATCCTTGTATGAAAGGAGAAATGTGCATCTCCAATTTATAGGGAAAAAATATCATGAATAACGTAAATTGGAGAGAAAAATAATATTACAACTTATAGAATAGTATCAGATTGTAGATTGAAATAAATCAAAACAGTAAAGAAATTAATTGTATTCTTGGAATTCTTCAATATTAAAGAGTGTTGTAAAGTTAATAAAAGAATTAAATTCAAATCTTATAGAACATTATCAAATGGTGGATACTGAAATTATTTCAGTTAGATTGAGATAAACCAAAATAGTGAAGAAATTAAATTATATTCTTAAAACCTCCCAATTATTAAATGCAATACCTTAAATGATAGATATTGAATATAATCCTCTTACATTGTGATGATCTAAAGTAGTAAAATATTTTGACCAAAAATGTAAGATGATCTAAATAGTAAAATAGTATCGCATCTTTAATACTTATCATTTATGGTTGTTGTTGGTGCTGGGTTAAGATTTAGTATCAAAATGAAATTTAACAATTCAAAAATAAATTTGAATCGGAGGGTGAGACGGGTCAAGCTTGGCACTTGACTATGTAATGACCCTTGATTAAAGGGGTGTTAAAATAAAAAGGAAATTGCACTAAGTCAAAATTCAATTTAAACCAACCTGATAAATCAATTATCTATTTGATTTGGTTTGTTTAGGAACTAAATTTTAGAAAACAAATAATATTTATTTGGTTGATTTTATATAAAATAATTGAAAAAGGCGAATTAAACCAACCAAAATATTAATCTATTTGTAAATAATTATATATGTATACTAATTAATTGTAAATATGTTTTATAATGTATATATGTTTCTCTCATCATTTTCCGTTGGGGTTATACAAGTTTACTTTTGGGCTTAAGAACTATAAAGTGCTCAAGAAGGATAAATCTGTATAAAGTGATGTAAGAAAAAATATGTGTAAAAGAGGAAGACCTTTAGTAGGAACTCTATGTAATATATACTTAAATTTAAAAGCATTGAACCACGCTTTATAGTTCAAACTCGTATATAAAATTTACCTAATTAAGTATTTAGAAGAAATAGATTTGGCAAACATGTTGGTTTATTTTTATGTGTTATAAATATTTTAAGAACAAAAAAACGTTAGATATACTTCTGAAAAAACTTTACAAACGCCAAAGGCTTTGAATAGTCGCCTAATTTGAATATGAGTTATCACAATTGAAATATGACTCCTCGCGAATGTCATAGCAGCTACCTCGAAATCTCCAAATACTAGTATCCAATACGGCTCTAGTAATCACCACGTCTAGATGCACTTGGATCTGCACACAAAGTGCAGAGTGTAGTATGAGTACAACTGACTTCATGTACTCAATAAATAACAGAACTAACCTTGGGATGAAAGCAGTGACAAACTTAGAAGAAGACAGTCAGAATCCAATATAATGACTATACAGATATGATGATGACAATAACAATAAGTAACTCAAAGTAATTATTATATTCGGGTCGTTCATATTACAAAAAATTAGATATGCTTTCAAGTTTAACAATTAAAGCCCAACACTGATAAGAACATATCAATTACAGCTAGCATGAGGAATGGTACATGTCTATGCCTATATGTCAAGTATGTGTGTCAAATGAATGATTTCACCGTGATATTTCCAAGTACTCTCACTCTCAACATACTCAATCTATCTGCCTCAAATGTCCATTCATCACACACACAATCACTCAGCACTGTACGGGTGCCTGGCATCAATGCCTCTCACTAAAGCACATGTATATATATCACTGTGCATACGCTCATTGCTGGTATGTCAGATCCGGAGGGGCGAATCCTGCCCAAGCGCTAATCAAAAGCCAATAAGGCATGTTGCGGCGTGCATCCCGATCCACAATAATACTCTCAACACGGCTCTAAGGCCCACCTCAGTCATCAACCTCTCAAGTCTCAAGGGCTCACAATCTCATACCACTCAGCCCAGCAATGATAACATATGATGTAACAATGAATGATAAACAGAGACTGAGATATGATATGCAAATAATGAACCATGACTGAGTGTATAATTACAGTTAAAGCAGATAACTCAAAACAACGGAAATAGCCCCATTAGGTCTAAACGAATTAAGCACAAATCCTAAATATGATTTCTAATATGAATCACAACTCAATTACTCTAACAAGTAGGAATTATACGGATAAAACAAGATTTGATAGTAGCACAATATAAAAGTCAACTCGGATCATGATTACCACGGTGCATGCCTACACGCCAATCACCTGGCATGTGCGTCACCCCAACACAATACCAATAACATATTTTTCAGGGATAATTACCCTCAATTCCAAGTTTAGAAATGTTACTTACCTCAAAATGCGCAAATCAATACTCCAATAAGCCTTTGCCTCGCGAATCGGCCTTCGAACGACTCGAATCTAGTCACAACAATTTCATACCATCAATAATAGCCATAGGAAACAATCTCAAATGATAAAACTAGAATCTTTAATCAAAATCAGAAAGTCAACCCAAAAAGTCAACCCTAGGCTCGTACTCCGGAACTCGACAAAATTCACAAATTCCGAACACTCATTCAATTACGGGTCCAACCATACTAATTTCATCCAATTCTATCTACAAATCGCCCCCCAAATTCTCAAATCTTACTCTCCAACAACATAGTCTACAATCCTCAATTTTCACTTCAAATTCACATAAACTAGGTGTAATAATCAATGGGTAATCAATATTTAATATCAAAAGTGATTAAACTTCATTTACCTCTTCAATTGTAGCCAAAACTCTCTCAAAAAGTGCCCTTAGCGAAGTCCCAAAACTCTCCAAATGAGAAAAGTCACGAAACCCTTCGAATATAACTCTGCCAGTGAAACCGCACCTGCGGTCACTTAACCGCATCTATGATCCCGCTTCTGCGGAAAAGTTGTCGTATCTGCGGTCCCATACCTTCTATCTAACATCCGCTTCTGTGGTCACACCTGCGCTTCTATGCACGCGCACACGTGCCTCAACGTCTACATCTGCGTAAACCCATGACCATACTCCACTTCGCTTCTGCGCTCCACTTCCCGCAGATGCGGACCAACATTTGCACCTGCGCATTTCCCCAGCCCAAGTATATTCTGCACCTGCGATGGCCTGACCGCTTCTGCGATCTTGCACCTGCGACCAAATCCTTGAAGGTGTGATTGCACCAAAACTTGAAATTCTTCAGCATTTCTACTAAGTCCAAACATGGTCCGCACATCATCCGAATCGCACTCGAGGCCCCCGGGACCGCATCCAAACATACCAACAAGTACTAAAATACGATACGAACTTAGTCGAAGCCTCAAATCACATGAAATAACATCAAAATCATGAATCGCACCCCAATTCAAGCCTAATGAACTAATAATCTTCCAACTTCTAAAACTAATGCTGAACCATATCAAAACAACTCTGAATGACCTCAAATTTTGCATATAAGTCAAAAATAACACAACGAAACTACTCCAACTTTCGGTATCAACTAAGTCAACTCTCGGTCAAACCTCTCAACTTTCCAAACCTTCAACTTTCCAACTTTCGCCAAAGAGCCTCAAATTAACCTACGAACTTCCAAAGCAATATTCGGACATACGATTAAGTCCAAAATTACCATACGAAACTATTGAAATCATCAAAATATCATTCCGTAGTCGTCTACACAAAAGTCAAAATCCGTTCAATTCTTTCAACTTAAGCTTCCAACCTTGGGACTAAGTGTCCCAATTCACTCTGAAACTTCCCCGAAACAAATCCAATCACCTCGGAAATTCACATAGCCACAAATAAACATAAAAGAAGCAATAAATCTGGGAACGGGGCTATAATACACAAAATGACTGGCTGGGTCGTTATATTCTCCCCCTCTTAAACAAAAGTTCGTCCTTGGACGAGTCTAAAACCATACCTGGAGTCTCAAATAGGTGTGGATATCTGCTCCGCATCCCCTGCTCGGTCTCCCAAGCAACCTCATCAATTGGCTGGTCTCTCCACTGAACCTTCACCGAAGTTATAGTCTTTGATCTTCACTTTCGAACCTGCCGATCCAAAATGGCCACCGGCTCCACATCATAAGTGAAATCCCCATCTAGTTGTATTATTCTGAAGTCCAAAATATATGACGGATCGCCATAATACTTCCGGAGCATAGAAACATGAAATACTGGGTGAACACCTGATAGACTAGGTGGCAATGCAAGCTTGTAGGCCACCTCTCCAACTCTCTCAAGCACCTCAAAGGGACCAATATTCCGAGGGCTTAACTTGCCCTTCTTCCCGAATCTCATCACACCATTCATAGGTGAAACTCTAAGAAGAACCTTCTCGCCCACCATATATGCAATATCACGAACCTTCCTATCAGTATAAATCTTATGCCTAGACTGTGTTGTATGGAGCTGTTCCTGAATTAACTTTACCTTATCCAAGGCATCACGGACCAAATCAGTGCCCAACAATCTAGCCTCCTCAGGCTCAAACCAACCAACTGGAGAACGACATCTCCTCCCATATAAGGCCTCATAAGAAACCATCTAGATACTCAACTGAAAGTTATTGTTGTTGGCTAACTCTGCTAATGGAAGAAACAGATCCCATGAATCTTTGAAATCCATAACACATGAACGTAACATATCCTCTAAGATCTGAATAGTGCACTCGGACTGCCCGTCCATCTGAGGATGAAATGTTGTACTCAGCTCAACCCGTGTGCCTAACTCTCGCTACACTACTCTCAAGAATTGTGATGTGAACTGCATGCCTTGGTCAGAAATGATAGAAATGAGCATTCCATGCAAGCGGATAATCTCCCAGATGTAAATATGAGCCAACCGCATTGCAGAATAGGAAGTCACCATTTGAATGAAGTATGCGGACTTATTCAACAGGTCCGCTATAACCCAAACTGCATCATACTTCATCAAAATCCGTGGGAGTCCGACAACGAAATCCATGGTAATGCGCTCCCACTTCCACTCCAGTATCTCCAATCTCTGAGTCAACCCTCCCGATTTCTTTTGTTCATACTTCACCTGTTGACAATTCAAACACCGAGAGACATAAGCAACGATATCTTTCTTCATTCTCTACCACCAATAGTGTTGTTTAAAGTCACGGTACATCTTCGTGACACCTGGGTGAATGGAATAACGCGAGCTTTGAGCCTCTTCAAGGATGAAATCTCCCAACCCATCAATATTTGGAATAAAAATTCGGCCTTTAAGCCGCATAACACCATCATCACCAATCACAACCTCCTTAGCACCACCTCGCTGCAATGTATCCTTCAACACCAATAAGTGAAGATCATCAAACTAGTAAGCCTTGATACGCTCCAACAATGATGACTGAGCCACAATGCCAGCAAGAACTCGACTAGACTCCGAGACATCCAATCTCACAAATTGATTGGCCAAGGCCTGAACGTCCATGGCTAGTGGCCTCTCTACTACCGGTAAATATGCCAAGCTGCCCATACTCTCAACTTTCCTACTCAATGCATCTGCCACCATATTGGCCTTCCCCAGATGATATAATATGGTGATATCATAGTCTTTCAGCAACTTTAACCATCTCCGCTGATGCAAATTAGGATCCTTCTGCTTGAACAGATGTTGGAGGCTCTGATGGTCGGTATCGACCTCACAATGAACACCGTACAGATAGTGCCTCCAAATTTTCAACGCGTGAACAATAGCTGCCAACTCTAAATCATGTATAGGATAATTCTTCTCATGAACCTTCAACTGCCGAGATGCGTATGCAATCACCCTATCATCCAGCATCAACACTATGCCAAGCCCAATACGCGACACGTCATAATACACGGTGTAAGATCCTAAACCTGTAGGTAACACTAACACTAAGTTGTAGTCAATGCAGTCTTAAGCTTCTGAAAGCTCTTCTCACACTCCTCAGACCATCTGAAAGGAGCACCATTCTGGATCAATCTAGCCAAAGGTGCAATAATAGTCGAAAAACCCTCCACAAAGCGGCGATAATATCCAGCTAAACCTAAGAAGCTCTGAATCTCTGTAGCTAAAGACGATCTAGGCTAACTTTGAACTGCCTCAATCTTCTTCGGATTCATCTTGATCCCCTTACTAGACACCACATGCCAAAGAACGCCACTGAATCAAGCCAAAACTCACACACATGTATATGACTTGTTAGCGAGCATCTCATATAAATGTTGAGTTGAGCATACCATTATATATGTTAATTTGATGCATTGTTACATTCGTTGTACTTGTGTCGTTGAGATAGGT